TCCAGAGATGCGCTGATCTGAAGCCAGGAGCCAGGAGCTGCTTCTGGGTTTCCCTCACGGGTGCAGGGTCCCAAGGCTTTGGGCTATCCTCCATTGCTTTTCCAGGCCACAAGCAGGGAGCTGAAAGGGGAGTAGAACAGCTTGGATATGAACCGACACCTATATGGGATCCCAGCACATGCAAGGTGAGGACTTTAGGTACTAGGTTACCATGTCAGGCCCCTATAAATGAGTTTGATACTCTCTAGTTTCCCATAATTCTCTCCCAACCTTTTAGACTTTTTTAATTTCAAGTCAGAATTGCAAGGAGAGAGAGATTAGGAAAGCTGGCTTCCGTCTGCTGATTGACTCCCCCGATGACTGTCAGGTGTGCAGCCAGGCTGGACTGAAGCCAAGAGCTTCTTCTGTCTCCCACATAGGCACCCAGGGCCATCTTCCACTGTCCTTCTCAGATCATTAGCAGGGAGCTGGATCAGAAGCAGAGCAGCCAGAGGACACAAACCAGTGCCCATATGGGATCCCAGTGTCTTGGGCCTACTGAGCCACAGCGACAAGCCCTGGATAGTTTTTCGAGTTCCTGGTTCAAAGCTTGAACCTGGCTCAACTTTGGCTTTTGCAGATATTTTAATAGTGAGCCAGTAACTATGATCTTTCTGTCTCTCTTTAATCAATACAAACAAAAATATTTTCTATGCGATATGTGTTTATCTTGTAGCAATTAACATCATGAGCCTTTGCTTAATTGTTGCATTGTTGGAATCATCTCCCTATATCAAATTTCTGTGCAGCCCTAGACAATTTTACCCCTTCTCTGTGCTATTTACATATTTATTTAAAATATTTATTTATGTTTATTGGGAGGTTAGATTTTACAGAGAGAAGGAGGGAGAGAGAAAGGTCTTCTATCTGCTGGTTTACTTCCTAAGTAGCTGCAACGGCGGAGCTGAGTCAATCCAAAATCAGGAGCCAGGAGCTTCTTCTGGGTCTCACACATGGGTGCAAGGATCCCAAGGCTTTGGGCTGTCCTCTACTGCTTCTCCAGGCCCCAAACAGGGAACTGGATTGGAACTGGTGGAGCAACTGGGATAAGAACTGTGTCCGTATCGGATCCTGGCGCTTGCAAGGTGAGGACTTTAGCCACTTGGCTGCTGCACCAAGCCCAAAATAGATAAAATCTTAAAAATAAAAATGTTTTACTTGGGGAATCAGTTACAGAACGAGAGAGCTAGAGTGAGCGAGAGAGCTTTCATCTACTGGTTCACTTCCCAACTGGATACAAGAGGCAGAATTAGATTGGTCTGAATCTGAGAACCAGGATCCCAAGGACCTGGGCCGTTCTGCCCTGCTTCCCATGTCATTAGCAGCGAGCTGGATCAGAAGTGGAGAAGCCAGGACGAACATTGGCACCCATAGGGAATGTCAACTGTCACAGTGGAGGATTACCATGTTATACCAGTGAGAGAGGAGTTAGAGTGGGTAGTAGGCAGTTAGGGTATTCTGGGTCCCTGAGTAAAAGAATTTCCCCATCATGTCTTGAACTCACCAGAGCACGTCTCTTCCAAGAGACAAGGGTGCTATTAGCATATCAACTCCCCACCAGAAGTGTCAGCCATTACCTCTGGCCACTGTGGGAGGGTCTCAGGCCGATCTCTTTATCATTGAAAGGAGAGCAGGAAGAAGTAATACACATCTGCCCAAGGCCTGGAATGTCCTATGTCTGGCACCTCTGTGGCCTTTTGTCCCAAGGCCAGGTACCATGGAAACTAGGAATTTTCTTTGTTCATGGAGAAACATCTTTGAGGGAAACCTTTAAAAGGTGCATTCCCCACCATTAAGACGGGTTTTGGCTTCTTGTCCTCCTGCCACTATGGCAGAGAACTAGGGTTCTTATTTTCCTGCCACTATGGCAGAGCACTGGGGTCCTTTTCCTCCTGCCACTGTGGCAGGGGGTGAGGGTCCTTTCTATCTCAAAACCCCCTCCCGTCGCTAGGACGAGAGTCTTCTCTTCAACTTTTCTAATAAATCTTGCTTTAAAACTAAACTGTGTCTGCATGAAAATTCTTCTTTCCTGCGAGACAAGAATTTGAGGTTGCTGCCATACTCGGAGTCAAAAATCCTGCAACACCAGGATGTTTCCCCATTTTTTAAAAAATTTGTTTTTCATTTAAGAGCCAGATTTATAGACAGAAGCATAGACAAAGAGCTAGAGAGATTTTCCATCCACTGCTTTACTCTAATCTAGGAGGCAGAAGCTTCTTCCAGGTCTCCCATGCGGGTGCAGCTTACCAAAGCCTTGAGCCACCCTGGACTGCTTTCCCAGACCATAAGCAGGGAGCTGAATGCGAAGTATGGCAACTAGGTCATGAACCAGCACCAGGGTAGGATACTGGCATTGCAGGTGGAGGATTAGCTGGTTGAGACACCGTCCTTACCCTACTGGCCCCCTTAAATTTTTTTTTTTTTTTTAGTTTGGACCCAGTGCACTAGACTAGTGGCTTATGTCCTGGCTTGCATGCACCAGGATCCCACATGGGTGTTTGTGTGCTGGCGGCCCTGCTTCCAATCTCGCTCCCTTCTTGTCACCTAGGAAAGCAGTGGAGGATGGCCCAAAGCATTGCTACCCTGCAACTATGTGGGAGACCTGGCAGAAGCTCCGGGCTCCTGGCTTCGGACTGGCGCAGCTCTGGCCGTTTTGGTCACTTGGGGAATGAATCACTGAATGGAAGTTCTTCCTCTCTGTCTTTCCCCCCACTTTTTTTTTTTAAAGATTTATTTTTATTATTTTTTTATTGGAAAGGCAGATATACAGAGAGGAGAGACAGAGAGGAAGAGCTTCCATCCGATGATTCACTCCCCAAGTGAGCGCAACGGGCCGATACTATGCCGATCCGAAGCCAGGAGCCTCTTCCGGGTCTCCCACGTGGGTGCAGGGTCCCAAAGCCTTGGGCGGACCTCGACTTTCCCGGGCCACAAGCAGGGAGCTAGAAGGGAAGCAGGGCTGCCGGGATAGAACCGGCGTCCATATGGGATCCCGGTGTTGCAGGAATTTTGACTCCGAGTATGGCAGCAACCTCAAATTCTTGTCTCGCAGGAAAGAAGAATTTTCATGCGGACACAGTTTAGTTTTAAAGCAAGATTTATTAGAAAAGTTGAGAAGAGAAGACTCCCGTCCTAGCGACGGGAGGGGGTTTTGAGATAGAAAAGACCCTTACCTCCTGCCATAGTGGCAGGAGGAAAAGGACCCCAGTGCTCTGCCATAGTGGCAGGAAAATAAGAACCCTAGTCCTCTGCCATAGTGGCAGGAGAAGAATAAGCAAAAACCCGAATGAATAGTGGGGAATGCACCTTTTAAAGGTTTCCCTCAAAGATGTTTCTCCATGAACAAAGAAAATTCCTAGTTTCCATGGTACCTGGCCTTGGGACAAAAGGCCACAGAGGTGCTAGACATAGGACATTCCAGGCCTTGGGCAGATGTGTATTACTTCTTCCTGCTCTCCTTTCAATGATAAAGAGATCGGCCTGAGACCCTCCCACAGTGGCCGGAGGTAATGGCCGATACTTCTGGTGGGGAATTGATATGCTAATAGCACCCCTGTCCCTGGGAGAGTGAGTTCAAGACATGGTGGGGAAATTCTCTTTTACTCAGGGACCCAGAATACCCTAACTGCCTACTACCCACTCTAACTCCTCTCTCACCGGGTGTGCAAGGTGAGGACCTTAACTACTGCGCCACCGCGCCGGGCCTCCCCCCACTCTTTATTTATGACTTTCCAATAATAAATAGATAAATCTTAATTTAAAAATGAAAAGATTTAATTATTTGAAAGAATTACAGAAAGAGAAAGAAAAATAGATGGCCCCAGCTGGGCCTGGGCCAGCCCAAAGGTCGAAGCTTCCGCAAGGTCTCCCACACAGCTGCACACTTTCCAACTGCATTGGCAAAGAGCTGCATCGGACCCAAACTGGTGCCCACTTGGGGTACAGGCATTGTGGGTTGCTGGGGTCCGTGTGATAGGAGTGGAAGACAGGAAGGTGTGAAGAGTATCGTTCTATTGCAGGCAAGGCCTCAAGGAACTTCCCACTGTGTGGCAAGGCCCGGCGGATATCTCTACAACACCTGAATGCAGCTCTGCCTCCCTTTGCATGGACACCGGACAACCCCGCTGAGTATTCTGTAATCTATTTAGGCATTGTCTGCCTCTGCGGAGTTACTGTTTAATATCAATAGGAACTTAGAAGCTAATGTTGCTGGTGCGTTTTTAGCCAAAGAGCTATTATCGCTGTTAGGGCTGCATCCTGTGGCAATATGCTAATCAAGGATACTAACTCCCCTTTTGATCCTATGCTAATCAAAGGTGTTCTGTCTTCAGGTGTAGTGGGAATCTATTCTTTCCCTCTTTCTTTGATCTTTCAGGTCCCTTCCTTCCTTGACTATCTCAAGACCAAGCTGTAAAGTAATTGTGGTAGGAATGTGTTAGTGACTGATATGCACCATCTATTGAGAACCTTTTTCTAGCCAGGCGCCAGGTGCCAGGCACCAGGTGGTTAACATCCTAGCCTCAGGTGAAACAAATGGCAGAGTTATCTTTGGAAACACCCACTTGACCATGACGTCAAAAGTCTGAGCCAGAGTTTGACTGATTTTGTATAAGTAAAGCGGACAGCTTTTGTGCGTGGTCCATTATGATGATGAAGAGTTACTAGTGGTCCGTCTCTTTCTTTCTCTTTCTTTGCGCCTCATCCACGAACCCTTCCCGAGTTCCGAACTCAGCTGGAGCTGGACTCCGGCAGTGGGTGGTGGTTTAACTCAGTCTCCATGCTGACCCCAATGGATTCCATTTCTCTCTGCAAGCAACCTGCTCCCACTTTGTTTTTCCCTGATTGTAGAGATGATTTCATGGGTACACATTCATTTTCATGCCAGGTGTCAGGGGGAAAAAGTGACCCTTCTCCATTTTTTTTTTTTTTTAACACAGCTTCCATGCAGCTGAACTATTTCCCAGTTGTCTGCAATGCCCCCAACTTGGGCTGAAGTTGGGAGCTAGGAACTCTGTTCAGATCGCCCATCTGGGTGGTAGCAGCACAGTCATGTAGGCCACCACCTGCTGCATCTCAGAATCTGCAGTAACAGGAAGCTGGATTCAGGAACCCCAGGCAGGCATTAACCCCCTCCCAGGTGAGTATCCTAACAGTGAGCCTCGGCCCAGCCTCAGCTAAATCGGTTCCTGTGTTGCCTTTGTATTTTTTTTTTTTTTTTTTACTTTTACTTTTATTGGAAAGTCTGATATGCAGAAAGGAGGAGAGATAGAGAGGAAGATCTTCCATCCCACGATTCACTCCCCAAGTGGCCGCAAGGGCTGGAGCTGAGCCAATCCGAATCCAGGAGCCAGGAGTCTCCTCCGGGTCTCCCACATGGGTGCAGGGCCCCAAAGCTTAGGGCTGTCCTCGACTGCTTTCCCAGGCCACAAGCAGGGAACTGGATGGGAAGCAGGGCCTACGGGATTAGAACTGGTGCCCATATGGGATCCTGGCACATTCAAGGTGATGACTTTAACTACTGTGCTATTGGGCCAGGTCCATGCTTTGTATTTTTTTTTTTAATGACTGATTTATTTTTATTAGAAAAGTAGATTTTACAAAGAGGAGAGGAAGAGAGAAAAAGATCTTCTATCTATTGGATCAATCCTCAACTGGCTTTCATGGCTGGAGCCAATCCAAAGCCAGAAGAGCTAGGAGCTTCTTCTGGGTCTCTCATGCAGGCTTTGGGCTGTCTTCCACTGCTCTCCCAGGCCACAGGCAGGGAGCTGGATGGGAAGTGGAGCAGCCAGGACACAAACTGGCAGCCATATGGGATGCTGACGCTGTATTGCAGAGGATTAGGTAGTTGAGTCATCACAGCAGCCCCATTTTTTTTAAAGGATTTATTTATTTGAAATACAGGGGTGGGGGCTGACATCTCACTCACTTGATAGCTTGTTCCTGAAATACCTGCAGAAGCTGGGGTTGGACCAGCCCAGGGCTGGTCGGGAATTTAGTGTGGATGTCCCAGGGTGTTGGTTGGGATTTAACTAGCTTTTTTTTTTTTTTAATAGCAGTTATTTGTTCATTTATTTATTTTATTTTTAAAAAAGATTTATTTTATTTTTTATTGGAAAGGCGGATATACAGAGAGGAGAGACAGAGAGGAAGATTTTCTGTCCATTGATTCACTCCCCAAGTGACCCCAATGGCCAGTGCTGCACCAATCTGAAGCCAGGAGCCCAGAGCTTCTTCCAGGTCTCCCACGTGGGTGCAGGGTCCCAAAGCTTTGGGCAACCTCGACTGCTTTCCCAGGCCACAAGCAGGGAGCTGGATGGGAAGTGGAGCTCCTGGGATTAGAACCGGCGCCCATATGAGGGATCCTGGCGCCTTCAAGGCGAGGACCCTAACTATCACGCTATGGCGCTGGGCCCTGTTAATTTATTTGAAGGTCAGTTACAGAAAGAGAGATAGAGAGAGAGAGAGAGCTTTCATCTGCTGATTACTCCCCAAATGTCTACAAAGGCTGGGGCTATGCCAAGCCAAAGCCAGGAGCCAGGAGCTTCTTCTGGGTCTCCTACATGGTTGCAGGGTCCCAAGCTGTCTCCACTGCTTTCCCAGGCATATTAACAGGAAGCCTGATGGGAGATGGTGCAGCTGGGGCTGGAACTGGTACTTTTATGGAAATTAGGCCCTGCAAGCAGGAGTTGTACCAACCAGGTCACAGCACTAGCCCCCTGGGATTTAACAACTTCTCCTCCTGGTGCTTCTGGGGTCTGCATTTGTCAGAATCTGCAATCAGAAGCCAGTGCTGAGTATTTAATCCAGAGATTCAGATGTGTGACATGGGTGTTCCCAGCAGTGTCTCAACTGCCATGCTGGACAGCTGTCCCCTATCCATGTAAGGGAGCCATTTCTCTTTAGGTGACTCTCTCTTCCTGTCCTGATTGGGGCTGTTGAACAAGACTTGACTGATGTCAATGGCCGAAACAGCTGCCCAAAGGACCTGGACAAGGCTTAATACTCACGCAGGATGGGTACTTGCTTTTCATTTCCTTATTTTATCTTACTTCCTGCTAGAGTATCTCTCTGATCTTTTTTTTTTTTTAAGATTTTTTTTTTTTTTTTTAATTGGAAAGACTGATCAAATTGGCAGAGAGAAGGATCTGAAAACCAGGATGGGGTGCAGGACTGGCTGGGTCTGACCACATCTGCAACCAGAGGGGGAAAAAAAAAAGACACAGAGGAAGATCTTCATCCATCCATGGGTTCACTCCCCAAATGGCCGGAATGGATGGAGCTGAGCCAATCCAAAGCCAGGAGCTTCTGCTGGGTTTCTCACACAGGTGCAGGGTTTGAATGTTTTGGGCCATCCTTTACTGCTTTCCTAGATCACAAACAGACAGCTGGATGGGAATTGAGCATCTGGGACAGGAACTGGCATTCATATGGGATCCCGGCACTTGCAAGGTCAGGATTAGACAGTTGAGTCATTGAGCTGGGCCCATTCTGATTTTTGTTTGTTTTTGTTTTGTTCTGTTTTTTTAAACTTTAATGCAGGGATTAACTTTCTTCCACAGCAGGTTAAACCGCTGTTTTGGAACACTTGCCTGCAATGATCACAGGCCAGTCCTGGCTATGTCCTTTGAGATCCAGCCTCCTGGGAGCCAGTAGGTAGTACCTGTAGTGCTCTTGGGCTCTTAAAGCCATGCGGGATGGAGGTCATCGCCTTGTTTTGGCCTGGTCTGGTCCTTGCTGCTTTGGGCATTTGGAAAGGAACCAGTAGATGGAGAATTCTTCTCTCTGTTGCTCTCAAGGTCAACATTAACAAAAAGGTTTTAATGTGGAAATTTCCAGATACATACATGGAGAGGCAAATTAGTTTCATGACCTGTATCCCCTCACGTAGCTTCAATAATTACAATGCCTGTCTTGTTCCAATCTGTATTGTTTTGAATTGTTAATGGGAATTTGCAAAGTTGAACAAACAGTGCAACAATACGGCTGTCACCTACTCAACAGTGTTCATACTTTGCCATATTTGCCTTATCAATGTTCCCACGTGAACCAATCGAAAGCTTGTTGTAGGGCCCGGCGGCGTGGCCTAGCGGCTAAAGTCCTCGCCTCGAACGTGCCGGAATCCCATATGGTTGCCGGTTCTAATCCCAGCAGCTCCACTTCCCTTCCAGCTCCCTGCTTGTGGCCTGGGAAAGCAGCCGAGGATGGCCCAATGCTTTGGGACCCTGCACCTATGTGGGAGACCTGGAAGAAGTTCCTGGATCCTGGCTTTGGATCGGCATAGCGTCGGCTGTTCCACTCACTTGGGGAGTGAATCATCGGACGGAAGATCTTCCTCTCTGTCTCTCCTCCTCTCTGTATATCTGACTTTCCAATAAATAAATAAATCTTTAAAAAAAAAAAAGCTTGTTGTATGCAGCGTGACCTTGACACTTTTCTATTTTTGTAAGACTTATTTGAAAGTCAGAGTTATACAGAGAAGGGAAGAAAGAGAGAGGGAAAGAGATTTTCTGTCTCCTGGTTTATTCTTGAAATGGCTGTAATGGTTTGGCCAGGGTGGAAGCCAGGAGTGTCCCTAAATCTCCCAGGTGGGTGCTGGGGCCAAGCACTTTGGCCGTTTCCTGTTGCTTCCCAGGCACATTAGCAGAGAGCAGCATTGGAAGTGGAGCAGGCGAGGTTTCAACCTGTGCCCTAACGAGATGCAGGTGTCAGAGGCAGCAGCTTTCCCTACTTTGCCACAGCAGCAGCCCCAATCTTTAGCCTTAACTATTACATCATACATCTCCGAAAAAGTGTTTTTCTGTGTAATGATAATTCCATTATCACATTTTTGAATCTTTTCAGTTGTTCCCAAAGTATATGATATAGCCTGCCCCTCCGCACTACAACGAGGATGCAAGCAAGATTTACACATTATATTTGGATTACTGCCTTAAGACTTTTTCTTAAGTATGTTAAATTGATCTCTGCAGAGACTGGGCTACTTGTCATGTGGGCTGTTGCACATGTTGAATTTGTAGAATTTTTCCTAGTATTGGTATTTAATTTGTTCCTTTAGTCCATATAGATTTTCTCTAAGTTACTTGATTAGATCAAGGTTAAGCACTTTTGACAAGAATACTTAATAGATGATGTGTACTTCTTGCAGAAGCCAATCAACGACCACACAACTGCTTTATTTTGCAAAGTTTTACCACGTACTTAGGGAAGGTGCTGTCTGCCAGGACTCTCCATTTAATTAATTAATTAATTTATTTTTGGTCTTAATGTATGTTTTGGAAGTAACTTGTGAGGTGAGATTTGACGCCACAATACCCTATTCCCTTACAGCCCTTTTCTTGAAATTTTAATGATGGATGACACTCTGATACTTGCCTGAATTAATATTTTATTCCGGGTTGCAGAATGATGATTTTCTCACTCTTTGCTTCTACATTTAGTAAAGTGAACTCTTTTTAAAAGGAGCTTTTGCTTGTTGATTTCAATTAAAGTTAAATCTCAGATCTTCCAATCACTACATTTTCAGTTAGGAGTTGGTGTATGAGTCACCTCAGATGTAAAAAGTTACCTCCTTTTTTCTGATTATTCTTTCTCGGAGTGTAGGAGTGCAGACAGCTGGGTTTTCTTCCCATCTCGGCAGTTCCCCCCTCCCCCCCGCGCCCCTCATCCGTTTCTGCTGCTCTGTGCTTAAATCCCAACGCTGCTGCCAGCTCTCCTCAGTGCGCTTAGCTGTGCTTCGCAGTAGGACCGCTAGGGAGCGAACGAGCCCTCTTCGCTCCCCCCACCTCTTACGCTGCCGCTCTATCACCCCTCTCCGCCGTTCGCTCTCAGTCACTCTCTCGCTGGTGCCGACCGGGCCTCAGGAGCCGCTCTAGGCTGTCGGGAGGCCGCCCGCCTTTGCGTGGGGAAGGTGTGGACGACGCCTTCGCCTCGCCGGTCCCCGGGGCGGTTAGTGCTTCCGGGGTCGGAGGGTGCGCGGGGTTGAAAGCGGGCCGCTCCGCCCCGTCCCCCTCCCAGACCAGCAGAGGCAGCCGCCGGAGCAGCCGCAGCCTGCGCCCTCTCCCGCCCGCCCGCCCGCCCTCCGCCGCCCTCACCCGCCCCGGGGTCTCTGTCCCCCTTCCTCCTCCTCCTCCACCCCCCCCTCCTCCGCCCGCCCGCGGGGCCCCCCTCGCCTTCCCGCCCGCCCCTATTGTTCCGCCCCCGGCCTCCCGCCCTTCCCCTTCCCGCCCGCTCCCCTTTTTTTTCCCCCCCTGAGTCTCGCCTCGCGCCTGCAGGTAAGCTTCTTTTAGGAAAAAAAAAAATTTTTTTTTTTCTTCTCGTCTGTGTGTCCCCCCCCCCACCCGCCCCGCCTTGGTGGTAGCTCGTCCGGGGCCCGTGGGCTCCGCGGGGAGCGCCGCCTCCCTCGGTCGCGGCCCCGGCCGGCCGTTCACGCGAGGCCCTGGCTCCGGCGCGGCCTAGTAGGCCTCGCGCGCCGGCCGGCCCCCTCCCCCCGGGCCCGGGCCGGCGGCGGCTGCGCAGGCGGCGGGGGGCGCGCGGCGGGGCGGGGGGCCCGGGGCTCGGGGGGCCGCGGGCTTCGGGGGGCCGGCGCCCCGCGGCTCGGGCGCTGCTGGCGCAGCCACGCGAGGAGGCGCCGCGGCCGGGCCCCTCCCCCGGGGGCGCAGCGCCCCCCCACGACCGCGCCGTTCATTAGGAGCGTTATTTATTTATTTATTTTTCTGTGTTTTTTTTTTTTTTTCCGCTCGTGGGTAGGAGGAGGGGGAGGGTTTAAAAAAATTTTTTTTTTTTTTCTTAAAGCGGGAGAATGCTTGGATGAGCGAGGGGCGGGGTGGGTGCTGCGGAGTTCCGTGTCGGGCTCCCCACTTGGCCAGGGGCTCGGGGACGTTGTCTCGGGGTAATGACGCCCTGAAGTCGAGCGGGCTATTTATAGAAGGGGCTGCTGGCGTGCGGGATGAGCCGCTGGATGCGGGGCTGGGCTGGCTGACCTAGTCTCCGGCGGCCATGGCGCGCCGTCAGAAATGCAGCTGGGTGCCTTGCCTCGAGTTCATGCAAGACTTGAGGTGTTTTCCATGCCCCTCCCCAGCTGGCATCGTGGGGAGCGGTGTTTGTAAAAGTGCTGCGGCTGTCGGAAGGAGGGTCATTCACAGCCTGACATTGCCTCTACACCGATCCCCGTTTTTTTTTTTTTTTTTTTTTTAAATGTGAGTGAAAAAATGTTGAATTCTGGGATTTTGCCAGCAATTAACTATAGGCTGAAAATAGAGAATGATGTGCTGTGGGGATGGCTGCACTTACATAATCACGCGTAATCGCACTCTGAAGTAGCCAGGGGACAAGTTTGCCATCAGTTCTGAAAATACTTCGGATGTGGGCTTCGTATTTCAGCAAAGCAAAGTCAAGTCAGTGACTGGTTTTGTGAAACGAGAGGGTGAGAGGAGGGTCACCGTGGCGTTCTGAGGAGATGGGTGTTTAAAATATCATTGGAAGTCAATTAGTGGAAGCTGGGAGTGTTTTTTTTTTTTTTTTTTAATTTGGATTAAGTGAGCTAAGCAGGGATTGAAGACAAAAGCAAAACTAAAATCAGGGGAAGGACCTTCTTGGACAGTGAAAGTGTTATTGTTGTGGCTTCAGTTTTAAGCAATGCCAAGTTTGTTTTCTGGGAGAAATTTGAGACTTCGCAGAACAGACTTGAATAAGTGCTGTGAGAAGAGGGCTCCTGTCATCCCCAGGGATGTGGAACCCCACCTGCATGGAACACGCCTCGGTAAAGCCTTTTTCAATGAGGTGGTTGACCTACATCTTAATACAATCTATTGGTATGTTCATCTGTTAGAATTAGAAATTTGTAGTACGAGATATGTGTATTGTAGAAATTGCTTTGACAGAGTCGATGCGTTTTTTCTCTATAGTGTTTTAGGTGAAGTGTTACCCAGTAGGAAAACAAATCATCTGCTGTGATTGTGTTTGTATTGGGATTTGTCCTTGTAATTTCCAGGTATTTTCTCAATTTTCAACTTAACTGTTCTGAGGGAGATTGCTGCACGTTTAGCAGTTTCCTTAGAACTCTGGTCTGTGGGAAGAATTCTCATCCCGCGAGTCAGCAGAAACCCTATCACTGTTCAGCACAAATTGGGAAGTCACCTTCTGTGTCGGGTAACAGGTCTGAGCTGTAAATGTTACCGTCAGGCTGGTGTGTATGCAACGCTAATGGGATGTCATTTAAGGGAAATAATTAGAGACATTGATAATAGTGACAATAATTTAAGAGAATGATTTCCTTATTGTCCTCTGACTGTGGTCATGGTTGCTTTTCAGTTTGGCCTTCACCCCCACCAGTGACCAAAGACTTGACCACTCGAAGTCCAGCTCCCAAGAACGTTGCTCGACATGGACACCGGTGTGATTGAAGGTGGATTAAATGTCACTCTCACTATTCGGCTACTTATGCATGGCAAGGTAGGCACCAGCTTGGGAAATTAGGTCATAGTAACTGCTGAGGGAGGGGCGGGGAAGAGCTGACATGCATCTTGGAGCTCAGCAGATTAGCACTGTGGGGCGCCTGGCTTCAGCACTCTTCTGACTGTGGATATGTGTTTGGTGGGAAAATGGACAGACTTGACTAGGAAGCTTCACTGAGCAGGAAAGGCTTAGCAGAGCTAGGGCCAAAGAATATCTCCTGACTGGATGGTGTGGGTTTATTTCTGATGGACTTTGTTGCAGTTCAGTTTACAAGCGTTTTACTGTGCCCAATTAATTACTGGAACCTTGTAGCAGGAAGACATTTTGGTATTTTCAGAAGCAATTTATAGTGAATGCAAATACAACAGTCACTTTTGCATTTTTCCCCCAAAACTTTTGGTAGCTTCCCAAATTATAAGATAAATAATTATTTGCTTTTTCAGTAAGTCCTTTTTCCATTCCTTGAGGGTGGTACGATCGGTTAGCTGGACAGTAAGAGAAATTCCTTTTCATAATTAACATTTCTGAGCTTCATCATTAATGCTTGTTTCCTTCATTGTAGGAAGTTGGCAGTATCATCGGAAAGGTAAGACGATTTCATTTCAACTCTAATTAGTGTTTTACTCAGTGTTGGTTGAAGTAGCAGCTGGAATTCATGCATGGCTTTTCCTCTTACAGAAAGGAGAATCTGTTAAGAAGATGCGCGAGGAGGTAAGTTATAAGAGGACATTGGGATTGTAGACTTTGAGAATTGAAAATTTTCTTTAATAACTTAATTTGGAGGTGAAGAAAAGGAGAGGCAGATATTCCATTCACTGGTTCATTCCCCAGAAGGCCATAACGGCTGCTGGGGCTGGACCAAGGTGAAGCCAGGAGCTGCTCCTGGGTGTTTTGGGTAGAGAGTGCCTAAGCGCTTGGGCCACCGTCTGCTGCTTTTCCCAGGCTGTTAGCAGGGGAGCGAGCGCAGAAGAGGAGCAGCTCCGACACAAGCTTATGTCCATACGAAATGCCAGCTTGACCTGCTACATCAAAGTGCTGTTAGAACAACTGGAAGGCCTCAGTAGGAGGAACCTGTGTATACATTTTTTTCTGGCTTGGTTGTTTATATTAGCAAATAGTATTTTAGGAAATGATTCTGACAAGCTTCAAAATTCAGGTAACTTGTAGATTTTGTTTGAAGACAGACATGAAAGTTTGAAATGTTGCTGACTTTGCCTCATGTCAGGATTGGTTGTGTAGGCAGATTTCTTGCCCGTGTTATTTGGGAGGGACTGTTTGTCCTGCGTGTGCTGAGCTCTTTCGCATTTTGATTCTCTTATCCAGAGCGGTGCACGGATCAACATCTCAGAGGGGAATTGTCCTGAGAGAATTATCACTTTGGCTGGACCCACTAATGCCATCTTCAAAGCCTTTGCTATGATCATTGACAAACTGGAAGAGGTTTGTTGACATGCCCCTCCCCCATTTTCAATTTTTGATGATTCCCATCTGCTGGCTCAGTTCTCAGATGCTACTGATGGCCATGGTGACGTTAGAGCTGGAGGCTGGGAAGGTAGTCCACAAGTCTCCTGTGGATGCCAGGAAGTGAAAGTAGGCAGCTACAGCTGGGAATTGGGTCCACAGATGCTGCTGTGGGGCACAAGCTAAATCTCCAGTATGTAGTAATGTTTAAGTGCTTACAAGTAGCTATTTGTTTTTGTTTTTAGTTTACCTAATAGTGATTAAAATCCAGTTGTGTTTACTCCTCACATGCCAAATTGATAGCTTGAGCCAGGATTAGGCCGAGGCCGATTAGGCCGAGGCCGCAGGAATCCTCGGGTCCAATTTGAATCTCCCATGTGGGTTTCAGGGAGCTAACTACTAAGGCCATCACCTGCCTGCTGCCCCCAGGATGTGCACTCCAGTGCAGTGGGAAGTGTTTAGTGCAGTAGGAAGCCTGTTTGTTTATTTATTTATTTTATATTGGAAAGGCAGATTTACAGAACAAGTGTCTGTGATTTCATTCCCCAAGTGGCTAGAAGAGCTGGATCTGAGCCAACTTGAAGGCAGGAGCCAGAAGCTTATTCCGGGTCCTCCTTGTGGGTGCACTGTTTCAAGGCTTTTTGGGCCGTCCTCGACTGCTTTCCCAGGCCACAAGCAGGGAGCTGGATGTGGGAGTAGAGGAACTGGGGCATGAACCAGCATTCATGTGGATCCTGGCACCTGCAAGGCGAAGCTTGAGCCACTCAGCTGTTGTGTTGGGTGCTTGTCTGAAGATTTTGCTGGCCATCCTTCAGACTGAATAACCATTGTGGTTCTGTGTTTAGCTTCTAGCTCCTGCTGCTGCAGTAATGCAGCTAATTGTGCAATTGATACCAGTAAGGGGAGGGCTGCTTACTTGGTGGTTGGTACTTAATGGTGCCTGAAATCTTATCCTTGTGAAGATCAGGAATGTTATCTTTGGAACCATAGGACCATGTCTGTCCAAAGTGTACTATTCGTTTTTTTTTAAAGATTTATTTTTATCGTAAAATCAGGTATACAGGGAAGATCTTCTGTCTGATGATTGACTCCCCAAGTGACCGCAACAGCCAATGCTGTGCCGATCTGAAGCCAGGAACCTCTTTGAGGTCTCCTATTTATGCAGAGTACCAAGGCTTTGGGCCGTCCTCAACTGCTTTCCCAGGCCACAGGCAGAAAACTGGATGGGAAAGCGGGGCTGCCGGGATTAGAACTGGCGCCCATATAGGATCCCAGCAATTTCAAGGCAAGGATTTTAGCCGCTAGGCCACCGTGCTGGGCCTGAAAATGTACTATTCATGAACAGACCTTTTTCCAGGGCTTAGGCTTAAGCAGTTTTCAGGTTTTTATTCATGGAGATTAGACTGAGTGTTATTTATACCACTTAATCTTCAGAAAGCTTAACCAGGTTAAAACCTTGACTTTTGTTGTTGCATTTTTTTAGGGAAAATATGTGTTTTGAACCACTAGTATTTCATTTCCAGTCTAGTTTTTTTTTTTAAGATTTGTTTTTATTAGAAAGGTAGATATACAGAGAGGATGAGGTCTCTCCATCTTCTGGTTCACTCTCCAAGTGACTATAATGACTGGAGCTAAGCTGGTCTGACTCCGGGAGCAAGGAACTTTTTTCTGAGTCTTCCAAGTGGGTACAGGTTCCCATGGCTTTGGGCTGTCGTAGGCTCCTTTCCCAGGCCAGAAGTAGGGAGCTGGAAGGGAAGTGGAGCTGCCAGGATACGAACCAGTGCATGCAAGGTGAGGATTTAGCCACTGGGCTCTATAGCTTTCCTTAAAGATTTGTTTACTTGAATTAGTAGCACTGCTATCCATTGGTTCACTCCCCAAATGGCTACAACAGCCTTTATGGGGGCCAGGCTGAAGCCCTCTACCTGGTACTCCTTTCAGGTCTCCTGTGTGGGTTGCTTGTTGGAGTGGTATAAGTGTTCTGAGCCTAAATTGCGTTTACCTAGCATAAAAATTTACAGCAGTGTTTCTAGAGTGATGTTTTGGTTTCTAACTTTAGTTTTATGAGGACAGAGTTGATTTGGATTGAAATGTTTCGCTTTTTAAGATTATATATTTGAGGGCCCGGCGCGGTGGCGCAGTGGTTTAAGGTCCTTGCCTTGCACGCCCGGGATCCCATATGGGTGCCGGTTCTAATCCCGGCAGCCCCGTTTCCCATCCAGCTCCCTGCTTGTGGCCCGGGAAAACAGTCAAGGACGGCCCAAAGCTTTGGGACCCTGCACCTGCGTGGGAGACCCAGAAGAGGCTCCTGGCTTCGGATCCGCATAGCATCGGCCGTTGTGCTCACTTGGGGAGTGAATCATCGGACGGAAAATCTTCCTCTCTGTCTCTCCTCTCTGTATATCCACCTTTCCAATAAAAAAAATAAAAACTTTTTTAAAAAAAATTATATATTTGAAAGTTAACAGATCCTTGTAACCACTGATTCACTGTATAGCTGCAGTGGGTAAGGCTGGGCCAGGCTGAAGCCAGGAGATTAGAACTCCATTTGGAGGTCTTGGATAGCAGGTACCCAAGCACTGGCCATCTTTTACTGCTTTCCCAAGCACATTAGCAAGAAACTGGATTGGAAGTGGAGCAGCTGCTACTTAAACTGGTATTCCTGGGATCCCCCTGTTGCAGGATGTCTAATCTGTTATAACTTGATGCTCTTCACTGAGTATGTGGTTCTTTTTAAAGTTTTTATTTCATTTGAAAGAGTGATGGAGAGATCTTCTATCTGCTGGTTCACTCTCAAAATGGCCACAATGACAGGAGCCAGGCCAGTCGGAAGCCAGCAGTTTTCTTCCAGGTCTGCCACACGCGTACAGAGTTCTAAGCACTTACGCCATTTTCCTCTGTCCTCCCAGGCCATTAGTAGGTAGCTGGATTGAAAGCGTATATATAAGGGGCTATGTTATCCCAGTATGGGATACTATTGCCACAGGTGGAGGTCTAACTGTTGGCCTGGGGTGGTTGGCCCTGTGCTTAACACTTGACAAATGACTTGTTCTATTTGTCAGATTGCTATAGCAGACAGAACTGCCCTAGGCAGAAGCTGGAAGCTTTGTCCCTATCCCCCAAGTTGAGTGTGTTTCCAGGGTTCTGTTCAAGCCTTTCTGGTGTTCTTGCTTGTTGCAGGACATCAGCAGCTCTATGACCAACAGCACAGCTGCCAGCAGACCTCCGGTTACCCTGAGGCTCGTGGTTCCTGCAAGTCAGTGTGGCTCTCTCATTGGAAAGGGTGGTTGCAAGATCAAGGAAATACGAGAGGTTGGTGACTTGTTTGGAAATGTTAACTAGCTTCCAAGTGTGGCTCTACTAGATTTTGGGACAGCTTGGTAGTTTGTTTTTTAAACACAATTCATAGGTTTGAGTAACATCAGAATATGAAAATGTAATATCCAGTTACTGCATGTGACGTGTCCCAGGTTATTCTCCCCCTTCAGTTCTTCAGTTTTAATAACTTTATTAGGCTGACATGATTATTTTTCATGTGTAGAAGAGATTACAGTATAGTAGCAGTATTTTTGACCGAATTTCATAGCGAAGAGAAAATTAGAAGAAATATTGAAGTAGTAGTTATAGTTATATTTTCTAAATAATGGGAGTTACAGTGACTTAAGAAAAATTTAAACTTGGTTTGGGAGGAAATTGGATGGCTCCTGAAGCCACTCTGGTGTCTTGGGAAGTGCACAGTACATGTCATGCAAGGTGAAATCTTGGTTTTGTTAGCTGATGTACTGGCTGCACATTTTAATGGGCGCCTGACAGTGGCTTTCATTAAAATATTTGTTCAATAAGAATGAAAGGGTTAGTGATACTTATGAAGTTTGGTTCTCATAGAAGCAGTTAACAGAGGGATCGAGGGGCCTTTTTTCTTGAGCAGATTAAATTTACCCTTTTATTTAAGCTTTTTGTTTTATTATTTAAAGCTTAATTTTTCAATGCCTGATTTAACTTTGGTTAAACTGTCTAGGACAAGGAGAGTCTGAAGGGAAGATGGGAAGTGGGATAAGCATCCCTGGCACTTGGTATGAATTGTTTTTCTCTAATTTGAAATTTGTTTTTATCCCAAAGAGTACAGGGGCTCAGGTGCAGGTGGCAGGGGACATGCTCCCCAACTCAACTGAGCGCGCCATCACTATTGCTGGCATTCCTCAGTCCATCATTGAGTGTGTTAAACAGATCTGCGTGGTCATGTTGGAGGTAAGCCCTCAGGCTCATGCTGAGAGTGGGGGGCGGGTGTTACTGGGGACAGAGGAACTAATCTATATTTAGTAAGACTAGAATTAGGTGAAGCTGTTAGAAGTCTGGGGGTGGGGAAAGAGGTTCCCTGAGTTCATATTTTTCTTCCCCTAGCTTTGACTTTGTCTCTGAGTAAAAATAGAAACTGCTAAGCAGCGGTGCTCTTTTGACTCACAACAGTTCTAGTTGAGCTGGATACGAGAAGATTGGCTATCTGGATTTAGACTGGGTGGCCAAAAAAGCATTTAGATTCTTGAGAAATTATTTTATCTTTTGGATAGCATTCTTTTTCATTACAGCATGATTTAATCAAAGTGGCGTAGGTAAAATAGAATCTTGGCTGGTATTTCTAATGAATTAGGTCCTGATGATAGAAAAAGAATAGCAAAATTAGGGGAAAGTTTCTCTTTAGAACAGTTGTATGGAGTTGGTCCTGTAATGGTTTGGAAATAGTTTCCAATTAGAATTTAGGAAAATCTTGACCAGATCTTTCAGTTATTTTTATATAACTAATATGTTCACGTTGTTTGGGTATGTTATTTCTAGTTTTGTCTTTTTGTTCTCTATTCAGGCTAAGGTGGTAGAGCCTCAAAATTAGCAACTGAGTATGAATTTTGGGTGTACATAAGGTGTTCTGTGTTGGACAGGTTTATCTGAAAATGTGGAAGTAGTTTCTGAGCTGATTACAGGGGTATCCTCCCTCATGAGTGCTAGCGTGAGCTGTATAGGTAATGGGAGGTTAGATTGAGCCCAGGAGTGCGCCATAGATGAGAGGATGGAAATAGTGGTTTTTAATTTAACTGACCTGTGTGAGCTAAAGCCACACAGCTGAAGCAGCTTTGAAACCTTATCTCTTTTTGTTTTTTTCCCTTCTGACTCTCTCCCAGTCCCCCCCGAAGGGCGTGACCATCCCGTACCGGCCCAAGCCGTCCAGTTCTCCGGTCATCTTTGCAGGTGGTCAGGTAAGAGAATTATTTTCTTGTGGGCTGGAGTGAACAAAAATAATTTGAAATGTCAACGTTGCCAGCAGCACAACCAAGCCACGCTGCATGCTTGCTGAAATCTACTCTGGCCATAGTTTGATTGCTTTTAGTTTTATTTTTTGTACTAGAGAAAGCTATGAATGCCAAGCCCTTACTTAATTTTTAGCAGGCAATGGAAGTTTTGTAGGCACTCGGAAGATGTAATCGATTTGGTAATTTAAGGTGGGTTGAATGGAGAAAGTTAAATTGCCTCGCAGTCACTACTTCTGTTCTTACCCCATCCACCCTTTAAACATTTAGGGTGATGTTTAGAGGTCCAGATAAAGGTAGCAGAGAATTGGACCTCTGCATTAAATGGATGGTGGCCTCTAAATAGGGGATCCTTGAGTGTCCTACAAACTTCCCCTCCCCCTCTACCTCCCCTCCCCTACCCCTTCACTCCCAACCTCCAGTGTGGTGTTCCCTGGGCTCTTGGCCTCATAAACCCTGGTGTGAAGCCTTGTGATGTAACAGATCAGCTGGGGTACAGATTCAGTGTGGAAGAGGAGGAGAGCATGTTGGGTTGTGGTGCTTGTGACCTTTGACATTAGAACACCAAAGCACCCTGTGGCCCATATTCCTTCTCCGTCAGTTGGAGCTCTTGATCTTGGGCATGTGCTTATTCTGAAGTTAGATTTCAATGGCAAGAACCTTGATCAGCACTATGGCAGTTTTATGTTTTGTTGGTAAATATTTGAGGAGTAGGTAGAACAGCTTCTGGTTGGTGACTGCCTAACTGAACAAGTGCCTTGCTCACAGTGCCTGTTCCCCCCTGGGGCTGGCCTGTTAGAAGCGTATTCAGTAAATTCTTTGTATTTTATCTCAGAACCATTTAGAAGGGAAACATAAACCTGGAGTCCATCTCATTCATGTTATTGAGTTGGAGCAAGTTTCAAGGGGGTCTTAGTTAAGTAGTTCTGGGAGCTTAAAACTAATCGCTTGACATTTTTAGCCTGAAGAGTTGACTGCCTTTGGTCAGGGGGCCTGTACACAGCTTTGGGTAGTCGGGGTCTGCAGAGGTCAGGGACAGAGCAGCCAGGAGGGTTAGCTGTAGGAGTCCCTGTCCCACTGGAACTCCGCATTCCTGCTCTTCTGGATTCTCCCACTCCACTGTGGAGTGCTAGGTGACAGCAGTTCTGCCTTCCCTCCCGTCTCTTCCCCGTCCCACCGTTCAAACCTGTCTGCTTCCCTGTCCTACCTCCCTCTCTATTCAGTTGATTGCCCTTTGAAAGCTTGTAGCTTTTGAGGAGCCCTGTGGGTTATTCCCAGGGGCCAATTTAAATACATTAGTGGATGCTGTGTCCACAGACGGACATGTGTATCTTTTGTGCCTTTGTGGCAAAATGGGCTCTGTAGGGGCTTGAATTAATCCTACCCACACTGACAGGAGCATCAATCCTGTGGCCCCTTCTTTTGATTCTTACTGTAAATAGCCCATTTGTGTTGTGTGAAATCTGCCACTAGGTAACTTTTTTTTTTAATTCACTGATTGCAGCTCGTTTCAAATTGTGTTGTGAGCTCCTTTCTAAGGAAAAAGAAAAAAAACAATAAACAACTTTTTTTGTGTGAATTTCATGCTGGTGACAAGGTGCCGGATTGACAGCCCTGGAGACTGAAATCCTCTATTTATCCACAGGACAGGTACAGCACAGGCAGCGACAGTGCGAGCTTTCCCCACACCACCCCGTCCATGTGCCTCAACCCTGACCTGGAGGGACCACCTCTAGAGGTGAGAGGGGATGTTCAGTCTCCAAGGCTCACTCAATCCTTCCGCCTCAGACGAGACTGCCAACACATGGGGGGCCAGTGGCGCTGGTGATTTTTGTGCTGTGGACAACCACCTGTCCACGGGGACCTGGACTGACCCCCCCACCTCATTTCACACTGGCCGCGTAGCCCACCAGATGGTAACACCAACTTTTTTTGATTTTTTTTTTGATTTTTTTTTTTTTTTTTTTTGATTTTTTTGTTGTTGTTGTTCAGCCCTCTTCTCCCTCTCCCATTTCTCCCACCCCATTTTCACCTTCCTCTCACCCACACCTGGGTATACTTTTGGGGGTACTGTGATGTGAGAAGCTTCACGTCTTGTTAACCAGCCACTCCTTCCCTCCACTCCCTTCCTGGTCCCTTTTCCTTTCCTCTTTGTAACCCACCCCATTGCCCTAAAAGACCCAGCTCCCTTTTTGGGAGGTTATGGTGGTGGGAGGATGGCATCATGGGAGTTGCAAGTTCCTTTTATGGAGGGGAGGTGGTAGAAAGCAGGATGTAGAGCAGGGATTTTGGGTGAGTGTGTGCGCATGTGTCCGTGTGCATAGGCATCTGTGATCCCTAGTGTTAGGGACCAGCCAGCATCCATTGGCTTAAAATCTTCAGGCAGATGTAGAGAAAAGAATAGAGGAAAAGGGAATTGTCTGAAAACATTTGATAAAAGAAAAAGAAAAAAATAGGTGGTATAGGTTTGACATCACCATGATTGGGATTTGGGTTGGGGTGGTGAGGGACTGAGTGTTTACCCTGGAGGGTGTGTAGAGAGGGGATCAGGGCTTGGTCAGTTGGCATTGTTTAATCTCACTTCCCACGCTTTTATTAAGAAGCAGGCAAGTTTATTTTTGTTTTTGATTGCAGGGAACCTGGCTACCTTTATATGATCCCTAGAATAAAGTCATTGCAGGGCTCAAAGAAACCCGACTTGGGTCTGACTGTATCTGTGAGATTCCACGTATTGCCGCTATCTAGTTCTCTAGTTCAACTCTGGCTTCCTGGCTAATTGAAGTCCCACCCCCACCCCCACCCTCACTGAGTGGCTGTCCGTGATTGGTTTTTAATAGGAACTGTTTTCCTCCTTTTGTAGGCTTATACCATTCAAGGACAGTATGCCATTCCACAGCCAGATGTAAGTTTTGTTTTCACTTCTTGTTTTGAAAAGCTTCCTCTCCCATCCAAAATTGTCTCACTCCTTTCTTCTAAGTTGCCAGAAGTGAGTTGGGTCGTAAATGTTTACAATATTAAATTGTTCTCTTCACAAAGTGAATCCCATACTTTGACCCTTAAATAATAAATCTTTAAGCAGGGAATATTAACTGTTTTGACTTTTAATCCTGGAAATGATAATCCAGCAGCTGGTCAGCTTCAACTTTCCCTGTGTATCAGATCACTCTGCATAAAGAGAATTGTGCTGTGTGTACTGACATTTGTTGTCTTGACACAGTTGAAATTACAGTGGACTGTGCTTCCCTACAGTCTTCTCTTGGTTGGGGGGAAGTGGGAGGTTGGTTGTATTTGTCCTTGGATCCACCTTAATCTGAGGTGAAAATTTAAAAAGCATTTGGAGGGAGGGAGGGAAGAAGGGCTTTATTTGGGAGGGATAGGGAACTGAAAATTTGGGAATTGTTTGAATTCAGTAAAACATTCTTTTTCCTTAAATATTCAAAAGTGCTGATGTTTAGGCTTTAAGGACACTTCTGACATTACATTGAGCAGTTGAGTTGGCTGGCTGTTAGCAGTATCCCCCAGAGGGAGAGGTAGACTAAAGTAGTAATGATTTTAAAATAGGATAGTTAACATAGGTGAGGGGAAAATAGGAGTAGAAGTCAGTGGTGGTAATGGGGGCTCATCCCAGTTTGGTTTCTTCTCTGCTCCCTGCAGTTTCCCTGCCCCCTCATCTCCTTCTGTCTTCCCAGTATTGATAGAACCCTGCATGGTGTGTTTCCCCTAGCACCACTGCACAGTTTGTTTACCTACCCTGTCTGTGCTTGTCCCTGGGGCAATGTTGTGCAATGGCTGCAAACACCTTCATTAAAAAGCCCACAAGGGGATGGTTGTTGGGCGGGTGCTGTTGCTTTTCTGGTCACACACCGAAAATTCATTCATTCTCCTACACTGACAGTACTCTTTCCTTTCATATTCTGCCCCATCCCCAGGTCTGTAATGTAAGCCTCATCCCAACCTTGTGTTGTAGTTTTCAGTAGTAGAATTAACTTTGGGGATCCAGAGCTCTGAGTACTTAGATCTGAATGTGTTTAAGCTTTGTTATTCTAATGCCAACTTCTATTTCCTCCTTGCAGTTGACCAAGCTGCACCAGTTGGCAATGCAACAATCCCATTTTCCCATGACGCATGGCAACACCGGATTCAGTGGTATGGATACCTCAGTGTTTATTTCTATACGGTATAGTTCAAGGCAGAGGCCAGTCCCAAGGTCTCAGCTTGACATCTATTTAAAACAAACTTCATTACTCAGCTTCCTGCTGTTTTAAACTTGGCCTTTCTATGGCTAGACCCAAGGAGGTAATGTGTTTGTTGATGTGCTTTTTATTTGGGTTGAGTTAATCTAAAAGAAAATAAGACCCTGGAAGGTTTTGGGGTAAGGTCTGGGGATGCTTGTCAGGTAAAGGGAAGGCTGTTATTTCTTCTAACCCGTCCTGATTGCTGCCCCCTTGATCTGATCAGCACCCTCTTCTCCCCACTAGCTATTCAGATGGGTAGAGACAATCCATTTGTGCCAAATTGTGTAGTGTTTTTGGTTTTGTTTGTTTTATTTTGGTTTTTTTGGGCTTTTTGTTTTGTTTTGTTTTGTATAAGGAATAACTTGTCCGATAGGGCTAGGATGAGACCACCAAACTCATTTTCACTTGTATCTTAACAGGCATTGAATCCAGCTCTCCAGAGGTGAAAGGCTATTGGGGTAATGATTAAAAAAAAAATCTGTAGTATTCTACTGTTATATTAATAAACTTGTGGGAGTCTTGTTTCACTGCCCATGAACCATACCAGAAACACACATGGCAGAGAGGAGCTGAGAGAGCTAAGGGGTGGGCCTGGTGCCCCTGAGGGTCCCTTGATGGATCTGGCCAATCCCCTTCAAAAAAAAATGCAGCTGAGAGCAAGATGAAGTTTGAGGGCTAGCTAGCTGACCTGGCCTTCCAGGTGTCACTGTAGCTGAATTAATAGTGTTTACTCATGGGTTTTTTTTTTTTCTTTTTCTTTAAAAAAACATAAAAACCAGAAAAGATTGTCAAGTAAAAAGATAGGGAATAAATCTGGAGAAACAAGCTCCCCTCACCTGACTGCCATTTCATTTTGACCTGTAAGTCTAGGTTAGGGGTTAGGTGGATAGGGGTGGAGGATGTTAATCTGATACAACTCTTCATGTGTGCCAAAAGTCCATGGTACCAATAGGAGGCATGATATGACACTGGTGCTAGTGAGCATCAGGTGAGAAAATTGGAATACAACAGCCGGAAATCCTAAGTAGAAAAGGAGTAGGACAGAATGGCTTGATGGATAGATTTTGGTTTTGTCTGAGGATACCACATTTCCTTGCCCCTTGCTTCCACTCCCTACCCCCAATATGCTGGGCTTTGCAGGAAATGGCATGAAATCAACTCTTCTGAGTGTACAGAAGGACCTTTCCAGCAATATTCTACTCCCCTCTCCCCTCTTTCCTCTTTGAGACTTCCAAGTTAGTGATGAATCCCAACAGCCAATGCTTGGTTTCCAGTTAATTCCTTCTGTTAGTGAAATGTGCTAATCAGTGGGGGTGTTAGAGTGCTGTGCATTTGAACTGCCTTGCTCTCTTCTGTCTTTCAGCAGGTCTGGATGCATCTGCTCAAACTACTTCTCATGAACTCACCATTCCAAATGATGTAAGTGTGGCAGTTGAAATGCATATAATGAAAGTAAAATAATTTGATTTTTAAGACTAGAAATTCATTCAGTAATTCCCTGCTATTTAAAAGGTCTAAGGAAGCTTTTTCTTCTTTCTGTCGAATTCCTGTTTCCTTATATGCAATGATCCATCAGTTTTTAATCAACAGGGTAGTTTTTTTCCTTTTTTTTTTTTTAGCAACATTTAAAAAAAATTTTTTTTAAAGATTTGCTTTTATTGCAAAGTCAGATATACAGAGAGGAGGAGAGACGGAGAAAAAGAGCTTCCATCTGATGGTTCACTCCCCAAGTGGCTGCAACGGCTGGAGCTGATCCAATCTGAAGCCAGGAGCCAGGAGCTTCTTCCAGGTCTCCCATGCAGAGTCCCACAGCTTTGGGCTGTCCTCAACTGCTTTCCCAGGCTATACGCAGGGAGCTGGATGGGAAGCAGGGCCGCTGGTATTAGAACCAGCAACCCTGTGGGATCCTAGTGCATTCAAGGCGAGGACTTTAACCAGTATGCTACTGGGCTGGGCCTGTTTCTCTTTTTTTTTTTTTTTCCTTTGTTAAAGTCAGATATACAAAGTTAAAGATCTTCCATTTGATGATTCAGTCTCCAAGTGGCTGCAGTAGCCGGAGCTTCTTCTGGGTCTCCCATGTGGGTGCAGGGTCCTAGTGAGTAGGGCTGTCCTCAACTGCTTTCCCACGCCACAAGCAGGGAGCTGGATGGAAATTATTATTCTTGGGATCCCGATGCGTGCAAGGTGAGGACTTTAACTACTAGGATACTGCACCAGGGTCAACCTGGTAGTTTTTAAGCATGTATGGCTTTTTTTGTTTAAGATTTATTTATTTTTATTGGAAAGGCAGATACACAGAGAGGAAGATCTTCCACCTGTTAGTTCTCTCCATAAGTGGCCACAGTGCCCAGAGCTGAGCCGGTCTAGAGCCAGGAGCTTCTTTGGGATCTCCCACACCAGTGCAAGGTCCCAAGGCTTTGGGCCATCCTCAATTGCTTTCCCAGGCCACAGGCAGGGAGCTGGTTGGGATTGGAACGGCTGGGATATGAACTGACACTCATGGGATCCTGATGCATGCGAGGTGTTGGCGCCCACACATATGGCTCTTTACATTGAGAATTATGAATAATCAATTCAATGCTTCAGTCTCAGGTCAGGTGTTCAGTAATCCCTTATGACTTGTAGTATTGCCAATTACAAATAGGACCCAGTTTTGCCTTTTACAATGGCAAAAATTCTTTGAATTTGCAGAATTTGGAAATGAGGGGACCAGTTGGCAATTCCCAGGCTAGTTGAATTTTAAGCGAAGAGCAATAATGAAGAACTAATTCTGTTAGCTTAGAGTTGACTGATCTGTGCTGCCTATGTACAAGAGTATAATGTAATCTACAACTCAAGATTTTTTTTTTTAATCGGGCAGATACTGGGTAAGGTGCAGGTGAAAGTTTTTATTGCCATGTTCTTCAATTCAAGCTGTAGTTAAAGGGATAGGATGGAAGTTCTTAATTTGGTTTTATTTTTTCTCCTTAAGTTGATTGGCTGCATAATCGGGCGTCAAGGCGCTAAAATCAATGAGATCCGTCAGATGTCTGGGGCGCAGATCAAAATTGCGAACCCAGTAGAAGGATCTACTGACAGGCAGGTTACCATCACCGGATCTGCTGCCAGCATTAGCCTGGCTCAGTATCTAATCAATGTCAGGTAAGTTTGCCCTATGTTTTATCTTATTAATGCCCACACAGTAATGTATGTGTTGGGGAATGTTGCAATGTTTTCATCTAGTGTAGCAGGGAAGTTACCAGATTGTGATAAATTTGCATGGGGAGGGGAAGCATGAATTGTTTGGGTTTTATTTATTAGCTGGGAAGTGGTGAGGGTAGTATATATTTTGACTGGTAGGCAGAGCACCTAGGCTGACAAACATGATCCTGGCCTCTTGTCCATGTCATGTAGACCAATATTTCTATCACCGAATTTAGATAATAGACCAGTGTGACATCAAGGCAGTTACATGAAAGCAGAGGGTTACAAATGCATGCTGTTGTTCAGAGCTTGTGGGCGAAAGGAGGCAGGGTTTTCAGCAGAAATACTAAGAGTTGTTGTCTGTTTTCAGCAGTCTTCATCTGTTACAACTTCTTAAGGTTTTGTTCAGATACCCAAAAGTACCTCCAGTCAGGACATCCTGGAGCGTGTTTGTATTTCTTGCTTTCTTAGCTTAAAGGCACATTCACCATTTTAAACCAGTGTTAGCAGCGTTTTTCCCAAGGGACTAACTAGTTTTTGATCCTTTTTATGAGGAGCATGTCTAATTCTCACCTTTTTCATGAAGTATTTGTTCTCTTAAGCATAAAAGATGAGGTCCCAGATGTAGTGCAAGGGAGAATTCTTGAGTATGATTGAGGCTTATGTTGTCATGCTGGTGTTCACTGTGTTTTTCTTGTAGTTTATAATCCTTCATTTAGGAGCATGGCCTGCAGTAGTGGTTCTGTCTTGCATCATAACACTTTCCTTCCTTGGAAGGCTACCAGTCTTGGTATAGAAAGATGTTTTTTTTCTGTGCCTGGTCTGTCCTTAACATCTGAGAATTGCTGTTGATTGTAGTATATAGCAAGTTGGTGCACAGAGGCTGTCTGCAGAGGTGTGCCGCTTGTCTTAGGGTGTCCTGGAAAAGGCTTGGGAAGTTCTTCTGCTTTGGGTAGGCTGACCCTGAGTGTTGTGACATGGCCTGCCCCTGGGTCGCAGTGATAGGCTTGGGTTAGTTCTTTCTGTATCATTCTCATTGAATGGCTGGCAGGCTTTCATGATGTGAGGATTTGGGTCCAATTTGGGGGCAGGGTGTGGGATGAGAGGTTTTTATATGAAGGAAGAACTGTATGTATGGAAAAGCTTACTCTGTCACCTTGAACCCAGTTCACCTGCAAACTTTTTATTAATACCAGGCAGAAAGGATTTTACTACTTTTGTTAATGAGTTCTGAACATTGCTGCTTTGTGACTATGGAGTTTTTTGCTGACACAATCGGTTTGCTTCTGTTCATTCCTTTGTGAGTTACAGGACAGGGTAGTCACAGTGGAGTCCCAGAGGAGAGCCTCTTTGATGTGTTGCCGTCAGGGTTAGACCGGCCCCAGCATAGGCATTGGTGAGGTGCCCATCCTCACTGTCTCTTGCATCAAGCTAGAGAGTAGAAGCAGTATCATTTTTGCTTTCAAACATGTCTTGGTAATGCTTGAGTTTCTCTTCCAGTTCTGTAAAGTTCATGTTGGAACTGTGGTCAGAGATGCAGAGCCATTTGTCCTCCCACCTTGCTTTGGAACAGCTTTGGTAGTTTTTACTAACACTGGTGCTCTGCATTTTTTCTTTGCCTTCTGTCTTCTGCCTCTTCCCATCATAGCTGTATATTGGGTTGTTTGCTGAGGAGATGTAGGTATACCTAAATGTTTAAACTACATACAGGGGAATAAAATTCTGGTGATTGACATTCAAAGCTCTGCCAGGTAATTGGTTTAGTTCATTTTTCTTTGGAATGATAAACTGACATTTGATTATGTGAAACATTTCTTTGATTTAGGGGTTAGATAATATTTCTACCTGAAGTCATTGTTTGTGACTTCCGGATTGGGTTATTAATATCAGATACATGGATGTGTAATATCCGCTGTGATTGCTTAGTCAGCTTTTTCTTCAGTGTAGCCTTTTTCAGTGGTAAAGATGGTCAGCTATGTGGATTTAGAGGGTGGGATACAAGCTAATACAAACAGCTTATCAGTTACTAGGTCTTCCTAATTGGCAGCCAGAGGAGCTTACTAATAAAACTGAAGCGGTTTTTGTCCTGTACTTTTTCCCTTTTGTGGTCTTCCCTTCCACCCACCCTTTTTTTTTTGTTCCTTTTTTCCTCTGTTACAGTTTAGAAAACGCTAAACCCTCCTCCCAGGCAGCCTCCGTCACGATCCCTGATCACCTCAGCATCAACCTCTCTCAACCCTCCACCCCTTCTTCTTCTTCTTCCTCCTCCACCACCACCCCCTCGCTCGCCACAGCGGGGACCTCCGACGCACCCTCCAGCCTCCCCAACCCTCTTCCGACCGCCCCTTGTGTCTCCAGTCTGCTTGGCATGAAACCCATCCCTCTCCTGGCTCTAAATGTTGTGTCTGCTGCTAAGGGTACCGGGGCTTCAGCTGCCACCACCACCACCTCTGCGGTGCCATGTGTAACTAACAAACTGAAAGGCGAAAAACAGAGATTCTCCCCCTACTGATTGCGTATCTTGAGGTACCTCCTCAAGTGTTTTCTTGGTTCATTTTTATTTCCTTTGTTAACATTGGTGAGAACCCAAATATTGTGAGCTTGTGATCATTTCCTTTTTACTACTTGGGGTAGGGTGGGGTGGGGTGGGGAAAACTGGGAGGGGGTGGGGGACAGTGGTAACCTTTGTCTAGGTTAGGCCGGTTCCGCTGAGTGCCTGTTTCAGAGGCTGACTTGTTGAATTCTTTATCTATAGAGCCACAGTTCTTGCTCTTCTTTCCCAATTCTGTTGTGGGTTTTTTATTTGTTTTTGTAGCTTTATTCTGCTTTGGAATATAACAATGTGTTAGGCTCTGTGTTAATGAATAAAAGCTTCTCCGTTAAACCCCCTCCTTTTTAAAAAAAAGTTATTTAATGGTTAAGCTATCAATAGGCCTTGGTCATATTTGTGTTTCTAGCTGTAATAAAGTTGCCACACTAAGAACCTTAGTTCACCGTGTGCTGTGAAGGGTAAAAGGGGTGGGAACTTGTGGCTGCTCACTGTAGGGAGTCTGTACACCTGGCTGGGGCCTGTTTGTATCCCTGGTTAATTTTTAGAATTCTTTGTCAGTCAGTATTCCCACCAAAAGCACTGGCCTTGGCAGTGGAGCTTGAGGGGCCTTCCTAATTGGCAGGAAGCGTCAATACAGAACAGCTTCTCTTGGTTCCCTCATTTTGTCAGCAGCAGCAGCCGAGCTACAGATACAGCCCTGCTGCTGTGTGCTCTGGGGAGTGATTACTGTGAGGAGTTTGTCCAAGGTGCACAGACACATGAATTCACTTCACCTAGAATGGTGGGGTAAGGTTTGATCAATTGGATGGGCAGATTTTGTCTCCATTCCTCCAAGTTCAGAAGTTAATGAAGGCTGAGAGAGCATCTGAAACCAGCTATAAATGATCAACTGAATTCCTTTAACTTCCTACCTCCTCCTGCCTTCCCTTCTCTGCGCCAATATTGGAATGAGTAAGAAATCACGTTTTTAGATTTAAGAGGAACTTTAGGGATCAGCTAATCAGTAACTCATCAGTTCACACTTAAGAGGTAAACTCCCCAAGAGAGGTTGAAGTTGTAGATCACAGAAATGCCTAAATGAGTGCTTTGCTTCTGCTTACCTCCCTGAATGAAACCTTATTTTCTTCCCCTACTATGGGAATGGGTCTCTAGAAATTGACACATGGAATGCCAAAGGTTGTTGATCTTCCCCTGTCCAACGGGGTGTTGAAAGCCTCCTACACTTAGCAAGGCATGTGGAGATTTTTTTCCTTGACCGAGCTTCCCACATTCCATCCCCTTCCTGTTAAAGCTAACTGCCTGTGCATCTCCCCTGTGTCATCTCTGGGATTGTGGTTCTTCCACACCACACACCAAATGGGGCCTTCATGTGGTACATGCCCCAGGCTGCATGAACCTGAAGGGGGTGGGTCTCCCTGTCCTGCTTAGGAGTTTAATTCCTCTTTTGCCATGCGGACCCTCCCTTGGTAGTCTCCTTCCTAGTTAGGACTTAATCATGCTGATACCATCTCCCCCCAGGGACCTGGTTTTTATTTATCTAATTCTTGATTGGAAGGCCTCTTAACCTAATGAATATTCTCTAAAGAAGGATTGCTGGGAAGGAATCCAGATGTTTAAGGGGCTGCTACATCACCACTTTCAAAGGTACTTGGTGTTAATTTTTTTAAAGCTTAGAGCTCCCTCATGTGGTCCTTCTGTCCTAGAGCTCCCTGACATTTTGGTTCGCTTCTCCCCTCTCCTTCCTCACCCTACGTCACAGTCTGGGGGCAAGAGTGCTTCTTACCTTTTGGATGAGCTCTTGATTCTTTTGGATTCTAGGCAAAGATAGTACCCAGCAATTCCTTTCTTTGACTATTTCCATTTCCACAGAACCCTTTCATTTAGGCCCCACTGTATCTTCCCCGAGATTATTCTATTTTTAAGGTTGGAGGCAAGAGTCTACCTCATTTTTAAGATCTAAATATTTACCTTCATGCAGTGATGGAGAAAATTTTTAAAAATAAGTCTGTATTTCAAAAACTTTCATTTTCTGGCCCTAGGCTTTTGGCTACTTGGGTCGGCGTTTGGATTTTCATTGTTCACAGGATGCAGATGGTGGACTGTGCTCTTTTGGCCAGATAGAACAAATAGGTTACAGTGGTCAGTTTAAAATCATTATGAAGTGATGTACACATTACAAAGTGTAGCTGCCTACCTGATGTATTGGAAAGTATTCTGCATGCCCAGGTACCTTTCCCTCAAAGCCCCAAATTTGATTCATGGGCCTCAGATACATATCTGAACCAGAAAGACATCAACAAAATGAGCCAGGGAATTACCCTGCCACCTTAAGTCCTGAATGGTAGTGTTAACACTGTATAATCAGGTCCTTTTAACATCCATTCTACAGCCTCTTCATTCATAGTGGTAGCCTTGATGCTGATAGAGGCAGCCAGAGCTAGTTTAAAGGCTTCTTAGGATTGGTTCAGCACTCACCCCTTGAGACTGAAGGGAAAGATGCACTCGGCAGTGATGAAACACGGGATCTGTGTATCCTAATATTTCAGAGGGTGCTAGTAGTGAGCGACATTTTCAGATTAATATCTCCCACAAAAGCTCAAAGAACATAGAGGCAGTTTGTAACCCAGGCAGTATTTCCCTCCATTCTGAGGGAATGTAGCAAACCGTCACACTGGACAGCACAGCGGGATGTGTGTATGCTCTGCGTCACCAGCCAGGCTGAGTCTGAGGTGTAGTGGGCACTGGGAAAACTAACTTTGAGTTCTTTGTTTCTGTGTTACAGGCTTTCCTCGGAGACGGGTGGCATGGGGAGCAGCTAGAACAATGCAGATTCATCCATAATCCCTTTCTGCTGTTCACCACCACCCATGATCCATCTGTGTAGTTTCTGAACAGTCAGCGATTCCAGGTTTTAAATAGTTTGTAAATTTTCAGTTTCTACACACTTTATCATCCACTCGTGATTTTTTAATTAAAGCGTTTTAATTCCTTTCTCTGTTCAGCTGTTAATGCTGAGATCCATATTTAGTTTTATAAGCTCCCCCCCCTTTTTTTTTTGGCTCATGAATTTTTCTGTTTGTCATGGAAATGTAAGAGTGGAATATTAATACATTTCAGTTTAGTTCTGTAATGTCAGGAATTTTTCAAAAAAAATTAAAAGATGGACTGGAGCTTTTCCTTTGTGAATAGAAACTGGACGCCACAGTGATTCATGCGGGTTTATTCCTGTTGTCCTGCTGTTATTTTTATACCTTTATGCCTCACAAGACCCTGTTCAGGTTCTGAATAGAAGCCTCTCTATCCAGTGATTGACTGCCCACTTTGCTGGTTTTTTTAGTGGTCCCTGAGATCATTTAACCCTGCCCTTGATTGACCCTTGTGTACACCTGTGCCCCAGAGGTCGTTTTGTCTTCCGCGCAGGCAGGCACTTGCACTTATGGGGGGAAAGGATGCTCACACACAACACACAGGAGCAGCTTCACATAGAATTCAGCTTCTTTGGAGTATCCTCTTGTTTATGCTTGCATATTACAAGTCCCTGTGTTTTAATAACTGTGTGTATAGTTATTTATAATAATACGTATTTAAGTTCCACTTCTATTCTTAACACTAAGAATTGTTTGGCAAAGTGCATCTGCTACTGTTTATGCTGGTAATTTTTTTTTTACAGCTGGAGTTGGTGTTTAGTGAGGGACAAACCCCAGAGGCATCCACTTACCCCATAGTCCTCAGACTTGTCCCCGGCTTATGTGCACTACGCATTTATTGACCAAGAAAACCCTCAACAGCTGGGCCTGCATGGAGTGGTTATATTTCAAGGTTTTTTTCACAGGGATTACAATGACAGTCCCCACCCCAATCAGGCACCAGGATAAAAGCAGGGACTAAACAGCACCCCAGTTCTTCAGCCTGAGCCATCACATGCTATCAGTCTCCTAACCTCCCCTGGGCCCCAAGCTGGTGCTTAGGAAGAGGAGTGGAGGGACAAGGAAATGAGATACGTTGCCACCTGAGAAACCTCAGAGGGGAGGACCCAGCCTTAGTCTCCCTCCTCCCAAGTGCAAAATGTGTAAACAGAGTAAACGGAAAACAGAAAAGTGCAGTTTTAAGTGGTTCCCTCTCTGGCCCCCCCTCCCCTCCAGAAGGCATAGAGACCAGCCTGGCTTTCCTGTTGCCTCATGGCTTGCTGCACATAAGGAACAGAATGAAGTGGGTGCCCTTGGCGCAAAGCTCTAGGGCAGTACTTTTGACAGCTGCCAGTGCCCCTACAGTTTATCAGGTGAATTGGTCAGGGGTCAGTCTCTCTCAAGTCTGGTTTAAGGCTGGGACAGCCCCATCATTTTCGGTTGATTATGTGGCGCATATATATAATTTTTATAAATATTTCTCTATGTACAGGGAATAAGGTGGCTTTCATGGAGGGAGGGAGGCTGGGGGCCGCAAGGCATCAATGCTGTTGGAGTTGTCCAATTCAGTGCTGTCACAGTCTGAGTCCTCAGAAATGGGAGGGCCCTGTGAGGAAGAGCAGAAATGCAATGAGGTGGAGCTCAGCATCTCTGGGCATCACAGATTAGATTTCCTTCAGGGCCTCCCACTTTACTAGCCAGATGCTAAGGCCACTGTCCCACAGCATCAGACCACCTACTCCGGGAGCCTTACGTGGCTGCTATTTTTAACTGCTGTGTGAGTAACTTTCTCACTCAGCTGCTTTGCAGTATTGACCTCATTCCACCACCTGGATATTTGTTCCCTGGTACTGGAGGAAAACAGGAGTCTTGATCCTTTCTGGCTTATGCAGTTGCTCCTTAACAGCTGGTTCTGTAAATGTGACTCACCTGCTCACCTCTGCGTAGGTCCTGGTGTGGGACAGGCAGGGAGCTGGGTTCAGGATCCGCGGCCACCTCAGAAGCTGGTGGGTCCAGTGGGATTTCTGAGCCCTGGGAGCACATGTCATCAGATCGTTCATCTGGCCGCTCATCTGTATTGGTACTGCCAACTTCAGGTGTGCCACCAGGGGAAGGCTCGCTAGCTGTACCTTCCTCCCCGTCTGATGGATTCTCAGAGCTGAAGGTAGAGAGTGACTGGCGCATGTTCAAGCCCTGCGGCCACCTGCATTTGTAGACATAGTGGGTTACAGCTTGCTTCTGCCTCTACGGCTCAGCAAGCAAGATGGTGCTGTTCTTCCCGCGTTGGGTTGCTCACCTCTGGCTTGATGTCAGCTCTACTTCACTGTCTACCTCTCCTTCCTCCTCCTCTGATGAGATGCCACGTTTCTGCAGGAGACATTGGATGGGGAGGGAATCAAGTGGTTGTCAGAGTGGGAGGTCATTAGAAACCTCAGAACAGGAGAATAGCACCTTAAACCAGCGGCATAGTGGGGTGACAGAAAATTACCTGACTTCGTGTGACAGCAGCCCTGTACAGCAGTGCAGCTGGAGTCAAGTGCTGGGACCCAGCCCGGCTTCCTCCTCGGCCTGCAGTCCCTTCCCTTCCAGGTCCTAGCAGCCCCACACCTTCACCAGGCCCTCCTGGTGGAGGCGGCTCCCCTTTAGCTCCCCCGGGGGAATCTGGGCTGGTGGAGCCAGGAGCTGAGCCTTCACTTGGGGGGGTATCACCCCGGATTGGAGGTGGTGATCCAGGATCCCCGGCTGCTCCTGGGGTGACCCGGCCCCGGGTTCCTAATGCTGCCGACAGCAGGTCTGGGGATGATGAAGACATCTTGCGGAGCAGAAGGTCATGGTGGAGCCCACGGAGGGCAGGGGGACAGGCCTCCCAAGCTGAAGGGCCCCCTCCCAGGGCCCCTGGGCCTCCTAGTCCTCCTGGGTCATGGGGTGGCACAGCTGCTCGAAGCCCAGGCAGGTCCCCACAGCTGCCCTTGGCGCTGGCCTTCCGGTGACGGGTCTTGCCACGGCGATTCCGTCCTGGTGATGGGGGTCCCTTAGGACATCCAGGAAGCCCCACCCCACTTAGGGCAGCATCTAGTTTAGGTAGTAAGGACTCTGTCTTGAGGATATCTGGCCTGGTGGGGAGGAGAGTTTGAAAGAGTCAGGCAAAGGAATGCATGCTCAAAGCAGCCTGTGAACACGGGGGCGGGGGCGCAGGTGTGCACCCCTGCCTGGCCTGGCATCTTCCCTTCCGCACCTTTTGCTGTGGGGTGACAGCTTCTGTGGCACATTCCTCTTCTTGATGAGCTTCTCCATCGTGTTGCCATGCAGGAGTCCTCGGGAAGGGTGTGACTTGAGCAGGCCTGGACACCTCCGCTCCAGAGCTTGTTCCCGCCTACAGACCCACGCTCCCATTCAGTCTGGCGTTTGGGCAGGGAGGAGGGGCGCCCAGCCCCAGGGAGATGGCATGGGCAGGGAGAAGACATGGTCAGTGTTAGCAGACCAGCGTCCCCCTTACCTGAGCAGCTCCCGCTCCTTGAGTTCCAGCTGCAACATGAGGGCGTTGAGTTCCATGTACAAGTTGTTGGCTCGTTCCAGCTTCCGTTCGTAGTGCTCCCGAATGTCCAGTGCGTGTCTGAGACAGATTGTTCTTGGATGCACCCTGGACCCCTGGGCCCCTGCTGAGGGCTGGGAACCCCTTGCCTGCCTCCCCCACAGCACAGCCTCGGGATGCACCTGAGCTCTTCTCGCCGCCGCATCACCAGCTCCTCCTCCAGGCGGTGCAGGCATGTCCCTTCCGACTTGATCTTCTCAAAGTGCAGCTTTACTTCTTCCCGCCACTCTGCCTGGGGGTGGAGAGGTGATGAGGGCTGAGGGACATCCCTCCCCCCCCCCCCCCCCGTGGGAAGAGGACAGGTGTTGGTGGATGGCAGTAGGGGTCAGGTCTTCCCTTTCCTCCCCCTGCACACCTGGGACTTAAAGTAGGTCTCCTGGGGTGTGGAGAGCACGTCAGCTGAGGCAATGTCTAGGTGGAGCAGGATCTGTCGGAATGACGGGCGGTTTCGGGGCTTGCTGTTCCTGGAGGGAAGATGGTGGGCCAGATAGCAGCCTAGGACTTCCACAGTAAGACCCCGAGACCCTGATTCTGGAATGTATTGCATTCTTATGCTCAGGAACTACCTAGTTAAGTACAGTGCCCTGCTTTGTCTGGATCAACTTGCCAGCCTTAGTCACTGCAGAGATGAGGCAGGTCGATTTGGCCCCAGATGGAGCATTGCAGGCCCCCTGCCTTCCGAGCTGGCTCAGCTGTAACTGTCCCTCCCCTACCTGCCCCTTGGTGCAGAGCAGATGTTACTGTACTCAGGGTTGATGCGTAAGCCCATCCGAGGTACAAGTCTGTCAGACCCTTGGAGACCCCAGACCCCTATTAG